TTGCATAATTCTTCAGTCATGAGCTTCTCCAAGCCATAAGCATCTTGAGGCTATTACACAAGCAAAGGAATTCAAAAATGACGAAAACACATTTCATAATTAACATATGTAAATGCATAAGAACTCAGCAGAAACCTCCGCAGGCCAAGCATCAGACTCCTTCAAGCTCACATTACTAGTGTCCAACTGTTTAAATTCAGGGTAAATGCAAGCACTAGATGCATAAAAGAACCTGCAAACCATGATGAGAAATCGAGTTAGCAGATATTCAACCAGCAAAAAAAAAAACAGAATTTTGAAATCATATGTGATATCGTGAAGAAAAAAAGACTTCAAAAACAGAATAAACAGATAAAAGAACCATTTCAGTTGTTTTGTAAAATTTTAAAAAAAAACGAAGTGGAAGGTATTTAGGTGACTAGTGTGGATCAATAGACCCTTAAACATTGCTGAAACCAAGTGGAATAAGTTAACTGAAATGTCTTAAAACAGATAACAAATCCAAGGCAAAACAAACCTCTTAACTCCATTGATCCTCGCTGCCTCGAGCATGTTAAAGCTGATCATTGTGTTGTTATACATAATGACGGAATGGTTGGACTGAATAAAACCCATACCTCCCATGTCAGCAGCAAGGTTGAACACATGGTCAACACCAGAAGTGACCTTCAAACAGTTATCCATCACCCTCAGATCAACAAGATGGAACTCATTACAAAACATGTCCTCTGTCATGTGTTCATTTTTCTTCCAGTCAGAAACAATAATGTAGTGACCTTCACTCTTCAGTCGCCTGGCAATATGCGAAGCAATGAAACCACCAGCCCCCGTTATGGAAACCCGAAGCTTTTCGGAAGGCCAGTACTGTTCCCTCACCAGGTTCTCATATGTGTATTCACCGTATTTACTTCCCCCAGTAGTTCCCATTCTGCAACAATAAACATAACAAAAAAAAATGTGAAGAGTTTGTAGTGAACACTTTTCAGCATCCATGATTAATTAAGCATTTTAACATCTAAACAAATCGAATAAGTGCCTTGCCAATGAAGTTGCTTATTGTTAATAGGGTGCCATCTAAAATTAATGCCGAGGTTGATAATGTAGGAATGCTATTTTCAGATACTGCTTACATTTTCTTATAATCTTATCTACACATTCCCGGCAGCCAAATAGAGGCAAACATAACAGGGTACACAAAAACTGTACGTTAATTGAAAAACTTTCACATAACTCCATGCCACAGCATCACTTTAAAACACTCAATGCGGAATAATAAACAAATAAATTTAAATAAACAACAGAAAATCAAAATTAGTGAAACGGAGCATCCTCTG